TTTCATGCTCTCGCTGACACCGTTTTCTTCATGAAATGCATATTTCAAGTTTAATTTATGCTCATAACTATTAATTCAATCCAAATAGAGATGATTATTTAATCTAACCTATGAGTTCACCATATCTGTCAAAACAAACGCGCCTATATTTTCACAAATTGTAAACACAGTGCCGACACGGAAGTTCGAATGTATCTTAAGCTCTGTATGATTAACTCAATCTATTCAAACTATAAACAAACTCGAATGTTTTTTTTTACAGGAAATCTCCATTTTCAATATTCACCAATCGTTTTTCTTAGAACTATTCATTATTCCTCCCTATGTTCCATCACAAACAAATAAATACACGTGTTTCTGTACTATTTAAAACTTCACGCATTTCTATTTTTATTTAAATCCACGTGTTTTCATTTCTTCTTTTTTTCTACACTGTTAGTTTACGGAAAGCAACTTCATCGGAGCCTGTGGCGTAGTGCATAGAGCGTTCGCCTTGCAATCTGAGGGTCCACAGTTCGAATCCTGCTGGCAGCACTTTTTAATTTTTTTTTTTTTTTAATTGGCGTTTTTCTTCTTTTTTTCAACCCAAATGACACGGAAACACTTAAAAAGCTGGAAAGACCTCTTATTGTTCTTTGAACAATAAGCCTCCTAGTTTTTATTTTTTATTATTTTTCCGCCGTGTGATTTTGAGTTTCAAGATTTATCGAAAAGATTTTAAGTTCATAAGAATGTTATCCATAAAAGATTTTCGCAGTTGACCCTGCGTATATGACCTATGACCCCTTTTGGAGTTATTACCCCTTTCGCAAAAAAGCTTGTTATCGCTACTCCTCCGAAACCATAAACCATAGAGAAATAAAACCTTCACTAATGTCTTTGACTAATTTAGTAGACACGTCATTGATTCATTGCAAAAGCATTCGTTGACCCCATCCATGAGTTATTGCCCCTGGAAGTTTTTGAATTTTACAAATAATCAAAAATTTTCAAAACATGAAGTCGTAGAGACATGGGACCAACTGCATAAGATTCATTGACCTTTGACCTTAAAATTCATATAAAGGTCAAAGGTCAAGGTCATTCCAAAAATGAGAAAATTAGCACTTTTTGTATCTCTTTTGTCTTTCAGCATATACTTAATGTCTATGCGTCATTAATATGTACTCTTAAAACTGTTTCAAAGATTTCATTCTTGTCCCCTAAGATTAAACCTTTCCAAAGTTATTGCCCCTTATGCGAAAAACCTTGTTATCGCTACTCCTCCGAAAATGTAGACCCTAGAGACACCAAACCTTCACTAATGTCTTAAGGGTCTTTAGACCTAACTTCACTGTATAAGTGTTAAAGAATCCGATGACCCCTTATATGAGTTATTGCCCTTTAACTTCTTTATACTTTCTATTAAACCTTGTATCTTGAAAACTATAAATGGTAGAAACCTGGGGTCAATTGCATTGTGACCCCTGACCTTTGACCTTGAATATTTGGTCATGGTCAAATGTCAAGGTCATTCCAAAAATGAGAAATAAAGCTCTTTTTATATATCTTTTGTCTTTTAACATGTGCAATCAGTCTTTGCATCATTAATATGTACTCTTAAAACTATTTCAAAGATTTCATTCTTGTTCCCCAAGATTGACCCTATCAAAAGTTATTGCCCCTTATGCAAAAAACATTGTTATCGCTACTACTTCAAAACCGTAGACCGTAGAGGCATGAAACCTTCACTATGTCTTAAGGGTCTTTAGGCACGCCTTCATTGTAAAGTTCTAAAGGGTCTAATGACCCCTTCTATGAGTTATTGCCCTTTAACTTCTTTGCACTTAAAATGTAAACTTATAACTATAGAACTAAAAGTCGTAGAGGCATGGAGTCAATTGCAATGTGACCCTTGACCTTTGACCTTGAAGATCTGATCAAGGTCAAAGTTCAAGGTCATTTCAAAATTTTTTTTTTTAATTTTCATTTTCTTTTTTTAAGCTATTTCCCTTAAAATTAAATAAGAGAGTAAAATATAAAAGTATAAGAAATTTCAAAAGGTGGAAAGACCTCTTATTGTTCTGTGAACAATAAGTCTCCTAGTTTTACATTGTTTTTATTTTCCAAAGGAATTAATTCTCAGGTAATTCATATAAAAGCATTCACAAAAACAGACTATAGCCTGTTAATCACTCAGGTGTAAAAATCAAAATGTTGGCTTTGTGGGAATAGGATTTTTCAAAATGTTGGCTAAGTGGGAATAAACCGTTTTTAAAATATCTTATATTTATCTGTTAATATATATCCGTGACATTAAACGCTTGTGCACGACATTGCATGATTTTCTTAATTATACAATGCATGTTCAGAATTACATGTATAAGCAAAGTACCCCTGGCCCTCTGCGTCAACAAACGGTGGGCCTGTATAATTAAGAGGCATTTATATTAAAAGTTTAAAACTAAAGTTTAATGTAATCTACAACTAGATATGAAGTGTAGTTTTAATTGTATAAAAACGCAGCAAATATGTGGGGCTCCTTGCTCTCTCTTACAGGTAAAAACTATACTCCTATAATGTTGTAAAATTTGAATTTACTAGTGGGAGGTGAATGCATGAATAGGTGAATAAAGTTATCATGTTGTAAATTTTGCATTTACCTCCAACCAGTAAATTCAAAATTTACAACATGATACTCCCTCTAGATCCGCCACTACAAATTTCTTTGAGTTGTAGCGGGAAAATTCTTGGCACATTGTAAAACGTGCATTATCCTCGTCTGCTAATGGCCACATTTTTTAATATTCTGTAGCCTGCAAGGTCTTTTGATGAACTAACATTTAACCACATTTTTGAAAATGTTAATATATGTACGTGTGTACACGTCATTTTAAAATAAATACGTACAACAAATCCTGTTTAAATAGAGAAAGTAAACTTGTGCAATGTACATAACGTGGTCTTTGCTTTAGACTATGCCCAACACATGTCCTAATTTTCTCCGCACATCAAACATGTCAAAGTTTCTCAATCAGGATTGAATGAAATATTTACCTCATTCTTTATAAAAAAAAATATATGTTTATTGTGCATTCTTGTTAAACATTTAGACGCTCTTTTTAATATATACTATTATATTAATGTTAAATATTTTTTATTCAAATTGTTCCAACTCCGCAGAAACGCACGGCGACTTAAAACTTTCATATCATACAAGTAATAACAGCTTTTCAAAAAGCTTGCCTGACTTAATCAATATCTGTAAGAGAAGTGATAAACCTTTTGAGCAATACTTTTTTGTGTTTTTAAAATACACTGTATGTCTTTTTACTTGAGAACCTTGTAAAAATATTTACTTATTTAACTTGTAAAAGAACGATGCCTTTGCTGCATTCTGAAGAGTTGTTAACAGAATGGTTAATGTATGTGGGTTTTCTGCCAATCGCAACTCCTCGTTCCCACTCCTCGGGCCTTATCTAGGGAAGGAGACCACAAATGTATTGTTAATTTAAATACAGTGGCGTAGCATCGTTTTTGAAAGTGGGGGGGGGGGCAGCCAGAGAAAAAATATTTTTACTTACCTGAAAAAGATGACAAGCAAAAAAAAAAAGAAGAAGTCGAAAATCCTTTTTCGGGGGGGGGGGGGGTAAATTTTTTCTCAGTGTCCACAACTTTTAGTACCGATTCTAAAACTACATTTTCGGTACATTACTAAAGGTGGGGGGGGGGGCAACCAGGCTTTCAATTAACACAAACTTTGAAATAAAAGCGTGGATGATGTATATAGACATATTTTCTGTGGAATATGAAGTTAACTTTATTCAATGTAATGATATTATCTAAAATATACTATAGAAGGGACTTCTAACTCCGTTTTTACTATGAACAGGAAATGTAGAAATTTTTAACATCCGATGATGTCGATACATTCGAGTTTGTTTTTCGACGACCCGAGAAGATGCGATTGACTTTTCTGCAAGTAGATTGATCTACCCCTGGATCTTAATTTAAAGCTACACCTATTCTGAAATCTGTTGTCAAATCATTATTTGTGAACATTCTAGAGAATGGATATAACTAAATACGTATGTTGTGGGAAAGCATTTTCTCCAATGAAGTAAACAGTAGTACATGTAGTTTGTGTTCATTTATCTTTTTTTCTGAAACGTGGGTACTATAATTTTTTGAGAACGAAATATTAGGTAAAACCAACATTTAGGCCTTTGTGGAAAAGAAATCCAAGATTTCGCACAGGTAATTTCTTTCGTCAAATCGTCTGGAACCTGGTTGAACTGCGTCGATCGTTTGTGGTGATTGGACTAGTCCATTAAAATATGGAATAAACCAACAGAGAGAAATCATTTCTTTTGTTTTGCATGTCCATATTCTGATACATACGATTCATATGTTGTTTTAAGAATGATATAATTTGTAGATAGAATTTCTGAATCATAAGAAGATGGAGGTTACAATTATAACAAACTTTATTTAATTCCATGGAAGTTAGCACCCCCATTCATACAATAGAATAATCCAAGAAAATGCGCGAAGATCGCTTACTCGTGATATTTGGCGCGAAAGAGCGATTCACCCCTTTTGTAGAACATAAATGGACTGATCCAGTAGTATAGAAATGCAGAAAAAAGATACACGGACACGTTGAAACGGTAAATCACATGGAATAATCTGTTTCATGCAAACAGAGTAAACAAAGTAAATACTGCATTATTTTGCATCAGTAAAATCATTGTTTCCCTGAAAAAAGTTTCTTTTAAAATGCAGGTAAAAGATTTCCAATGTGAATCAGCTTGTACAAAATCTAGCTCTCTGGGTATGATCTATTAGTTTCGGATGAAGCAATTATCAATCCTTATACAGCCTGACGCCGTGACGTCAGGCAATAACCGACCGCCTCCTGGCGGCCGGTAATTAAATCGCATCCAACATTTACCGCCAGTTCCTCATGACGTCATAATAAATTGACGTTGATCAACGTTGATTTCACGTCTTGAAAAATATGGACGATAGATTCAGCCGGATCTTGCTTATAACGTCGTATATGGCCTACACTTTAACAATCGTATCGAGTACCACACAAACATTTTATATGGTTAACAATGACGGGAGTTGCTCAAATTCATCTTTAAATGCGATTCCTAGTGGTAAAATTGTATCACAAAACGATTCTACTTACCCGAACGGAACAGATTGCGAAGTGATATGGACTTCAGCACCAGGTATTACAAATTAATTTACATTCACTTTAAAGTTTTCTTTTTAAAATGTATATTCAAAGTTAAATGCATTTCAGGAAGGGTTTATATTGACTCGCAAAAAGTGAAAAGGTACAGTGAGGTTGCCAATAACGAATCGCACCCGTTAACGAATCACTTTCAGAAGAAAATTCTGTATTTTTCTTATCAAAGTCCAATACTTAGCTTAACCTACCCTGTCATGTTGAATTATTCTTGCTTTTATCATTTATCATGAAATTATTAAATTCAACTCGTTTAATGTCCTAATTTTTAAATAAACATGAACAAGCTTTTTGTGACGCAGACCAGAAGCGTACATGCAAGCAGACTACTTTCACTTTTCGGTACCGCTCCAATGTGAATCGTACATTCTAGGTAAACAAATTTGGTGCAGATGTTTAATAAAATTATGTGTCTAAAAGCACTGAAAGCGTCAAACAATTTGTAAATCAGAAATTAATAGTATTCGCTTTAAAGTTGGGGGTATTTAGGTTTCCAATAACGAATCGCTGTTTCAAGAAATATATGACATGCAGGGATCCTGTCCAAATTATAATTTTTCGTATGGCATATGCGGTTTTTTGCAAACCAGTTACAATAAAAAGAAAACAACAGAAGATGTCTACCAAAAGCGTACAATAAAGGTGGTTAAAATACACATAAACAAAATCAGCAGCCAAAATCAGTACGAAGTGCAGAGCATGTGGATTCGAGAATGTCTCCCAGTGGTATATGTGCATGTAAGTTAATGTGAAGACATCGACGATAGCGAAATAAAAATTGTCATGATTACCAAACAAAATTAAGATTTAGAAATTTTATTTATTTATCCCTTTGCAATTTAAACTTCCCTACTAAATCATTATTTCCAACAATACCACGTTTGTAGTTTTCCTATTCCCTAAAAAATTATTTCAAATAATCAATTTTTATTTCTTGTCATGATCAAGATCAAGCTCGTATAATATAAAATGCATATTGCTAACAATACTTTTTCAATTCAACATCAAGCTAAATAAACTATAAACAGAGTTTTGTGATACCTCCCCCTCTTTTTTAGCATATACTAGTTAGTAAACATTTGATTTAACTTACACATTAATTGAGAAAATGATATGCAGACTGCAGCCTTTTGCCTATATGGAATATATGCCACCACTGTCTTCACGTAAAAGGAAGAAAGAGCACCATGAAAGCAGCAGAGGAGAATGAGCTGTCTTATTCGTTTCTATAGAGACGATGGACAGTTGAAGTAAACCCATATAAAGTGAAAGGACACCCTCCATTCCAGTATTTAATAAATCGCAATACTGGTATTTAGTCTACTGTGGATGTTGGAATGGAGAAATCCAGCAAATGAATCCCAACATCATTATTTGTAAAGTTTTCTCTGCTCATTGGAGGAAATTTAGGTGTTGGGTCTCGACATTTTGAAAATATAATTGTTCCTTTCAGCTTTAGGTATCTCTGAAGCCAAGCTCGTAGGAAGCAATTTCAGTTGGTGGGGGAGGGGTGCAGAGTCATACATTTTCAGTTGAGGAGGCACTATCAACCACCAAAATTCCTTGACAATTAATTAATCAAGCATAAAAAAAGGTCATCGGACTTTTTTTTTTTTGAGGGGGCACAATTATATATTTAGCGAAAAATTTTATATATGAATAGCGGCAAAATTATGGGGAGGGGGCGCGGTAGCTCAGTGAGTACAATTCTTGAATCAAAAATTAATTCTTCGGCTGTTTGCAGTTCATCACATATAGTTTTTACGTCCTCTGATATCAATTAGTCATTTGTTTTCCCTATGATTTCATTGTTGTTGTTTTTGCATTAATTGTCGGATGCAAACAACTCAAAAAAAATTCCTAGCTTTTCTTTTTTTTGGGGGGGGGGGGGGGGTGTGGAATATTTTAAGGCATAGTAAAACGTTACGTGAGAAGGGTATTTTTTAAATTTACACGGTCCCGAACCTGAATAATCAGCTTTATTTTGTCACGTGATTCGGTAATGGAGAAAATGATCCGCTAAAGGAGAAAACATCATTCATACAAGTACAGCGATAATTTTTTATTTAATCAGTGGTTATTGGGAAAATATATATGATGTTATAAGTAAAACATAGTGCCACCAAACAATGTTGTAAAATGAATTTAACTCAAACATGTCAAACTCAGGTACGAAATATCCAAGCAAATTTACTAAGTGATTCGATATCGGCAACCTCACTGTATTATCTGGTTATTCTTAATGTGTAAAAGTGTAGCATTTTCCATTTTGAAAAAGACATAAGAAAAAAAAAGGAAAAATCTCTATTCATCATTAAAGCTACGGAGTATATCTAGAATAAAACTTTGTTATTTTGTAACAGGTTCCAAGGCCCTTGTCATCGTGACCCTTGACCTGGCTGATAAGGTTAATGGTACATGTGTTGACTTTTTGGAAATTAACGGCACGTTACCGATGTCCAACTCAAACCAGACACTCTGTGGAAACGGATATGGTAGTTTTTTTTCCCAATAACTTCATGCTTCAAATGTTTCAAATTTTATAAAGTGGGGAGAGGGTGGGGTTGGGACTCCAATCCAAAAAAGGGAGAAAAAAATGCAAAAACTCGGGATTCCTATTTCGCGCCAATTCGCGGGGGAATGGAAGGGGGACTTTCCACAAACATATCGGTACTTTTGTAAATCAAATTTGGATATTCCCTAAAGTTCAACCATGCAGTCGCAAAAAAATGTTTGGGTTCATGGGAGAAAGGAGAGGACAACATCCCCCATCCCACACCCATCCACCCCCATCCCGCGTACTTAATGCAAAGAACAAAGTACGGTATTAGCAGTAATTTGCCGCAACATTTTCCATATTTTAAACTTTTCCTTTTTGTATTTTAATATTGAGCATTGAAGTAAGTAAGAAGTAAGCTAAAAATCGTGAATACATTTATATTTGTTATACCCGCACTTTCTAAAGAAAGTTCGGGTATATTGTTGTTACTCATGTCCGTCCGTCCGTCCGTCCGTCCGTCCGTCCGTCCGTCTGTCACACTTTTCTTCCCTGAACTCCTCTTACATTTTACACAGTAGCCTAATCATCTTTGGGGAGAAGGTTTGTGGTGTCATGTAGATGTGCAGTAAGGTTTCCAAATTTTGATTTTGCCCCGGGGGGTCAAATGGGGGTCGAAAAATGACGTTTTTTATGCAAAAAGCCCCGTCTTCCCTGAACTCCTCTTACATTTTACAGAGTAGCCTAATCATCTTTGGGGAGATGGTTGGTGGTGTCATGTAGATGTGCAGTAATGTTTCGGAATTTTGATTTTGCCCTGGGGGGTCAAATGGGGGTCGAAAAATGACGTTTATTATGCAAAAAGCCCCGTCTTCCCTGAACTCCTCTTACATTTTACACAGTAGCCTAATCATCTTTGGAGAGATGGTTGGTGGTGTCATGTAGATGTGCAGTAAGGTTTCGGAATTTTGATTTTGCCCCGGGGGGTCAAATGGGGGTCGAAAAATGACGTTTTTTTATGCAAAAAGCCCAATCTTCCCTGAACTCCTCTTAAATTTTATTCAGCAGCCTAATCATCTTTGTGGAGATGGTTGGTGGTGTCATGTAGATGTGCAGTAATGTTTCGGAATTTTTATTTTGCCCCGGGGGGTCAAATGGGGGTCGAAAAATGACGTTTTTTATGCAAAAAGCCCCGTCTTCCCTGAACTCCCCTTACATTTTACACAGTAGCCTAATCATCTTTGGGGAGATGGTTTGTGGTGTCATGTAGATGTGCAGTAAGGTTTCGGAATTTTGATTTTGCCCCAGGGGGTCAAATGGGGGTCGAAAAATGACGTTTTTTATGCAAAAAGCCCCGTCTTCCCTGAACTCCTCTTACATTTTACACAGTAGCCTAATCATCTTTGGAGAGATGGTTGGTGGTGTCATGTAGATGTGCAGTAATGTTTCGGAATTTTGATTTTGCCCCGGGGGGTCAAATGGGGGTCGAAAAATGACGTTTTTTATGCGAAAAGGCCCGTCTTCCCTGAACTCCTCTTACATTTTACACAGTAGCCTAATCATCTTTGGAGAGATGGTTGGTGGTGTCATGTAGATGTGCAGTAAGGTTTCGGAATTTTGATTTTGCCCCGGGGGGTCAAATGGGGGTCGAAAAATGACGTTTTTTTATGCAAAAAGCCCCGTCTTCCCTGAACTCCTCTTACATTTTACACAGTAGTCTAATCATCTTTGAGGAGATGGTTGGTGGTGTCATGTAGATGTGCAGTAAGGTTTCGGAATGTTTAATGTCTAATTGTGGCCTGACCTAGCCTTTGAGGTTATGATTTGAAAAACTAGAAATATGTCTATAGGACATGAATGTCCCACTGGATGTATATCACTCATGCTACAGGAAAATTTGTATTAGCGTATTAAGTTTGTTGAAAATATCTTGAACAGTTTCTTTAGAATTGAAACTAAAATCTAAATAAATTTGATATAGATTATAAATCCTCACCAAATTATGTATAAGTGCATGCTAAACATAAAAATGTCTTAAATTATTTCTTTAAAACTAAGCAAAATACAAATAAAAAAGGATGGAGGTCAAGGTCAGAGGAATGTGCAAGGTGAAGTTTTTGATGAAGTTATCAGCATATTATGTTTGATAAAAATATCTTGAATGATTTAATGAAACTGACCTTAACACTTTTTCTAAGAAAAGAGAGGTCAAAGGAAAGGTAAGGGCCAAAATGTTAAATGTTGCAGTTGAAAAGCTTACATCAGTATGAATTTACTATTAGCATATGAAGTTTGATAAAACTATAATTAATGGTTTATTTAAAACTTAGATAAACACAAATTTAAAAAGTGAGGTCAAGGTCAAAGGAAAATTCAAGGTCAAAATAAGTTGATGTATTAATAGCTCTCAGCAGTATGTATCAGCATATGAAGTTTGATAAATATATTTTGAATTGTTTACTCAAAACTGATTTAGACATTAATTTTAGAAAAGTGAGGTCAAGGTCACAGGAAAGGTCAAGGTAAAAAAGAGTGAAGTATTGTAAAGCTTACATAAATATGTATCATCATGTAAAGTTTCATTACACAACTTGAATGGTTTCTTTAAAATAAAGCTAAACAGTAATTTAAGGAGGCTAGGGGGTCAACAAATTATTTTTTTATTAACCACCGGTTATAACTTAAATTTGGGGATATGATATCTTAAGCCGTCAACTATCATTTGTCAAAAAAAAAAATTTCATAAATTTTAGTTTTAAAATTTGATCATTTTATCATTTTTATTATACCTTTATATGGAGCTCTTCTTCTAAATGAGATCAAAATAGTCTAAAAATGGCCGCAACCACCCAGCCTCTTTAAGGAAAAGTTACGTGAAGGTCAAAGGAAAAGTCAAAGTCAAAAAATATTGCTGCAGTTGGATATTTACATCAGTATGCATCAACATATGAACTTTGATAAAAATATCTAGAAAGTTTTTTTGAGCCCAATGGAAAGACAGATGGAAGGGTGGAGGATGGACATGACAAAAACTATACATGTATTCCTAATCATGGTGTGGCATAAAAAACTTGAATCTACATTATATGACGATGTTTCCATCTATCAAGATTATACAAGCAAATTCAAAGAATTGTGGTCCTCTGCTTTCTGTGATTTAGTGAATGGGATGCCATAATTTATGGCATATTATGTCATTGAATATGCACCCATATCATAATCAATTTTTGAAAATTAGGTCAAAGGGGTAAAATCATAGCATGTTCTGAAACATTTTGTTGCAGGTAATGTACATGTCAAATATAAAAGTCATATCTCTTTTGAATCAAAATTTATATATACAATATAATATTTTTGAAAAGTAGGTTAAACTTCTAGGTCAAGGTCACAGAGTCAAAAGTAATGATATATTTAGAAAAGTCTTTTCACATGTAATAAACATGTATAATTTGAATGCCCTTTCTTTTCTCTTTCAAATTGATCAATTTAAAATGTTATTTTTTGGAAAGTAAATAAAACTTTAAGGTCAAGGTCTCACTTGGGTTAAAAAATCATAATATATTTAGAAAGTTTTGTGGTAATGTACATGTGAAATAGGAAAGCAGTATCTCTTATTATTCAAAAGTTATGACCAAGGTTAAAGCTGTCAATAAAATGTACAAACTGACAGACAAATGAGATTTAACGTCCCCTCCCTTTCCCCAAAACGGGGGACAATAATGCCCTTGCTGTTCTTGAGAAGAAGATTTATGATGGAAAAAATCCCCTGCATATTTCTTAACGCAAATCAATATTGTGTTTTTATGTCATTTTGTTTGTTATTAAACATCCCTCTCAGGAATTTTTCACTGATATGGAGACACCACCACTTGAAAAATAATGAGGACAAGTTAGATTTGAGGTCAACATTCATTTTAGGAGTTTTCAACCATTAAGACATAAAGAAATATTAACTCGATCCTTCCCCTCACCCTTCCCAGACCCCTGTTTGTTTATGTATGCAAACTACTACTTGTATTACATTAAAAAAAAATTATACAAATAGTTTAATGTGGTCCATCTCTGAATGATTTTCATTCCTATTCTAGGCCGCCGCCAGAAGATAAGTTGACACAAATTCATGAAAAAAATGTCAAGTAATCTTATCATTGATGCACTTTTATTTAATTTAATGCAGTCATATTGTGAACATTTCCAGCTCATTAGGAGTGGGAATGACCTCCAGGGGTTAATTCATAACCTTTATACCATTAAATTTACATAACATAATAACACAAGAAACAAAATTATGGAGAGTCAAATGGAAAAACTTTCCAACTATTTAGGAGTCACATGATCATTTGTCATTACAGGGACAGGGAGTGGATTGGCTGATCGCCCTCTCACCCCCCCCCCTTGGAATTTGCAGGACTATAATATATACTGGAGGAAATAAAAATGACTTTGTATGCCCTAAGTGTCCCTCCACCATAGAAAACAGACCCAAACATAACTTCTTTTTTTTTTTAGCTTCTCAGGAAATTCTGGTCTGGAAACCCCCCTCCCTCCCAGTCCCAGAAAAAAATTCTGGATCTTGTAACGGAATGTAACGTTGATAACGGGGGATAACTCTTCAGAATGTCAAAGCATCGGATGACCTTTGATCCTTTAAACTTGAACCTAACCGTTTGCATTTCAGACTATTTTACCCAAATTTATACCAAAACTTTGTACTTACCGATTGTCATTATTTAGGTCCTGTAATCTTCATGAAATATAATCCAATTAAAACACAAAATGAAATAATTCCTATATGCAATGATGTGTATACCACACTAGTAGCCTACTGCACGTGCAGTGAAATCTAAAAATGATAATGCCAATGGTAAAACTAGTACTTAAGTTGGGTACGTGACGGAAGCCCAATGTGATGCAGGTGTTCAAATACATGTATAGTGCAAGAACAAATTGAAAATTATAACTTACGAAAGATGTTTTATCTTAACTTTCCATCTAGGCCTATTTCCAAAAACAGGCAAATTAGGTGTGTTTGTGTGTGTGTGTTGATGGGAGAGGGGTGGGGGTTGACTAAATTGATTGTGTATATATGGCAGCTTTCAAGAAGTTTAGAACTGCCTTGTCAAATATAAATAAACTTTGCACATTTTGAAAAATTCATCAAAAACTCTTTACACTAATTTGAATAATATTATTTGTTGATTTATAGATATGAGAAAATAGATTTAAAAAGTTCCAATTATGTGCCAAAAATTTATAACCCCCCCCCCCTTTATCAAACCTTATTTACATCATTAATTAGTTCTGTTGTTTAATTCAGACTAGTAATGAATTAAGGATATGAAATACTTATTAGATGGAGGCCCATGGGTCACATGGTCACCTGAGCATATTATGCTCAATTTGATAAAACATGTAATATGTAAACACTGTCGTGATCCCGTGCCGGATTGGACAAAACAAGATGGCGGCGGGAACAAATCGAAAAAGGTAGGTACCTGAGATTTCGGTAAATATCCCCCGTTAACCGTCAGATATGCTTGATCCGAAGATACTGTGGGATTCCTAGTAAAATGTTTATTAGTGTGTTTAATTGCTACTTTTCCTATCGTCTCTAAAACTTGAACATTTAACGACTGAAGACTGCAGAATTTCTCCGATTGTGTTTGAAGCGGCATGGAGTTGTTTTTTTCTTCGATTTTGACAGTTTTATGCATCCAGCAGCAAGAGAGTGGCTAACAAATGATACTTTGGAGTAATTCTGACCTGGTGTTATATGTTTATTTGTTATAACCCATTTATTACAAAAATATTTCGATTTAAAAATGTTGACATGTGCTGGATTGGAATCGGTTAATTTTAATGGAAATTGTGCCGGATTAGACTGCATTTTTGGTGCCGGATTGGATGATGTTCATTATGGTCATTTATGTAATAACTTTTTTCCTCTTTAATTTTTAAGATATGGATGCATCGTTTAATGAAATATACGAGAAGGAGGAATTTAAATAATATAGCTTATCTTACCGAAGTAAGATTGTTATCAGTTATGGTCACCCCCCCCCCCCCCCCCTCGATTAAAAATCTTTTTTTTTCCTGTTTCTTTTTATCTCAAATTTTATTGTACCCATATTTCTTTTGCAGAGACCACTGTTTTGGTAAACCCCAAAGAGCTCGTTGGGCCAGAAAAAAGGAAAGGAGGAACCGTTAGTAAGCCAGAGGAATCGTCCGCAAAACCTTTAAGCATACGAGAATTTCATCATGCACATGAGGCGAAGTTCGAAATTGCATCATGTTACTTAGTAGGGCCTTTCCGTCAGAGGTCAGAAAAACAGCCTCGAATGTATCATCATCAACGGGTGTTAAAAATTTATACATTTCCTGTTTATTGGAATAAAGGATTGAAGGATTTAGAAGTCTTGTATATTTTAGGTAATATCATTGCAGTCAATAAAGTTAACTCCATAATCCACAGATAAGATGTCTTCTCACATTTATTTCAAAGTTTGTGAAAAGGGGGTTTGTCATGGCGTTTATGTAGTACATGTACATTGTATTTTTAGACTGCTAGTAGGAAAGGCCCGAGAGTTTGCCATTGGCGAAATTCGATCCTACTTGATAGAGTACCTACGTACGCTAGTACAAAAGAGTGCTTTAGGGTACGCTAGTAAAATTTTATAATTTAATGCAAATAAACTGCTTTCTGTATGTTTTTCTAAATTAGTTTAACATAATAAACATATCATTTAAACAAAATGTGTATGTGTTCTTTATTTTCGAAGTTAGGCCTATTTTAATTTTTGATTTCAGATGACAGTTTAACGCTTGATCCCGATATCGATGTAATTTAACTTCAAATGTTTCGTTGTTAATGTGTAAAATATTACATTTTAAGTAATTCAATTAATTTAATTTTTTGATGAATTAATTAATAAGTCTGAAACAACATTACTTATACTATAGTAAATGTTCATTGAAGGGCTGGATGGCCCCCAACTTTTTGTGATATAAGGTAAATGTAGTATAAAAAATTGTAACTGAAAGAAGTTGGCTTTGAAATTGAAATTTCTCTGGCTGCCCTCCCCCCTTTCAAAAACGATGCTTCGTGGATGCACTGTACAAAACCATGAACATGATCGAGTAGAATACTAGAATTTCAGATTTGGTTGTATTTCAGAAGACAAAATCAAAATGTTTCTTCTGTTATGCAGCAAATTAAATGAACTTACCGTAAAATTGTTTACAATAAATTTTAGTAAAATAGTAACTTGCTAGAAAAAAGTGTCAATGGGGACAAATGCATTCCTTTATCTACTACGGAGAAGAGATATTCAAAAAAGACGACGAAAATTTCTTACATTTTTTGTTAAAATTTAATAAAATAACAGTCATGAACATTTTTTTGTGTCTAACCATAACAAACAAAACAAGAGGCCCATGGGCCACATCGCTCACCTGAGAAGCTTTGACCATTCTGTTCTTTACCAGATTTCCCCCTTGTAATACATAATGTATCCCCACCCTACCCCACTGATCATAATTAAGACATTTTGAAATCAACTACCCCAGGATCCTTCCATGTGCAAATAAGTTTCAGCTTTTCTGGCCCAGTGGTTCTTGAGAAGAAGATTTTCAAAGATTTTTCCTATATATTTTTATGTAAAACTTTGATCCCCCCATTGTGGCTCCACCCTTCATCTGGGGGTCATGATTTGAACAATTTAAAATCTACATTACCCAAGAATGCTTCCACATAAGTTTCAACTTTTCTGGCCCGATGGTTCTTGAGAAGAAGATTTTCAAAGATTTTTACAATATATTTCTATGTAAAACTTTGATTACCAATTGTGGCCCCGCCCTTCCCCCGGGGGTCATGATTTAATTTAGAATATACACTATACCAGGATGCTTCCACATAAGTTTCAGCTTTTCTGGCCCAGTGGTTCTTGAGAAGAAGATTTTCAAAGATTTTTCCTATATATTTCTATGTAAAACTTTGATTCCCCATTGTGGCCTCGCTCTTTCCACGGGGTTCATGATTTGAACAATTTAGAATCTACAGTACCCAAGAATGCTTCCACATAAGTTTCAACTTTTCTGGCACAGTGGTTCTTAAGAAGAAGATTTTCAAAGATTTTTCCTATATATTTCTATGTAAAACTTTGATTCCCCATTGTGGCCCCACCCTTCCCCCGGGGGTCATGATTTTTACAATTTAGAATCTACACTATCCCAGGATGCTTCCACATAAGTTTCAGCTTTTCTGGCCCAGTAGTTCTTGAGAAGAAGATTTTCAAAGATTTTTCCTATATATTTCTATGTAAAACTTTGATTCCCCATTGTGGCCCCGCCCTTCCCCCGGGGGTCATGATTTGAACAATTTAATATCTACCCTACCCTAGGATGCTTTCACATAAGTTTCAGCTTTTCTGGCCCAGTAGTTCTTGAGAAGAAGACTTTCAAAGATTTTTCCTATATATTTCTATGTAAAACTTTGATTCCCCGTTGTGGCCCCGCCCTTCCCCCGGGGGTCATGATTTGAACAATTTAATATCTACCCTACCCTAGGATGCTTTCACATAAGTTTCAGCTTTTCTGGCCCAGTAGTTCTTGAGAAGAAGATTTTCAAAGATTTTTCCTATATATTTCTATGTAAAACTTTGATTCCTCATTGTGGCCCCGCCCTTCCCCCGGGGGTCATGATTTGAACAATTTAATATCTACCCTACCCTAGGATGCTTTCACATAAGTTTCAGCTTTTCTGGCCCAGTGGTTCTTGAGAAGAAGATTTTTTAATGACCCCACCCTATTTTTGTCTTTTCTTGATTATCTCCCCTTGCGAGGGAATATGTCCCTTCATTTTAACAATTTAAATTCCCCTTCACCCAAGGATGCTTTGTACCAAGTTTGGTCAAAATTGGTCGAGTGGTTCTTGAGAAGAAGTCGAAAATGTGAAAAGTTTACAGACGGACAGACAGACGGACGGACGACGGACAAAATGTGATCAGAAAAGCTCACTTGAGCCTTCGGCTCAGGTGAGCTAAAAAGTAAAATGCGTGAAAGAAAAATAATATAAAAAATCTTTGAAACAATATGAATGAGAGAAATCAGTACAATTGTGTTGAATTTGAAATAATCACAGATATACCTATCTAAAATCCTAAAAATATTTTGGTCAGTGTCTGTTCCTCGGACTTTCTGAATTTCTCTATGCCTGTTTTTGATGTACATGTACCGTCGTAGGTTGTACTTCCACCTGTAGCAGCTGCCGTAGATAATGCATCGATACCTTTCTGCTGCTTCATGGTCAATTCTTATGTGCTTGTAAAGTGTCATCTCTACAAAACTCCTGAGTGCAGATGCTTAGATAAGCTTTATTAAATTCCTCCTGGTATTTCATTGAACTATGCATCCATAGCTTAAAAAATAAAAGAGAAAAAAGTTATTACTTAATGACTGTCATTAACATCATCCAATCCGGCACCAAAAATGCAGTCTAATCCGGCACAATTTCCATTAAGATTAACCAATTCCAATCCAGCACGTGTCAACATTTTTAAATCGAAATATTTTTTTTAATAGAATGGGTTATAACAAATAAACATATAACAACGGGTCAGCATTACTCCAAATTATCATTTGTTAGCCACACTCCTGCTGCTGGATGCATAAAACTGTCAAAATCGAAGAAAAAAACAACTCCATGCCGCTTCAAACTCAATCGGAGAAATTCTGCAGTCTTCAGTCGTTAAATGTTCAAGTTTAAGAGACGATAGGAAAAGTAGCAATTAAACACACCAATAAGCATTTTACTAGGAATTCGACAGCATCTTCGAAACAAGCATATCTGACGGTTAACGGGGGATATTTACCGAAATCTCAGGTACCTACCTTTTTCGATTTGTTCCCGCCGCCATCTTGTTTTGTCCAATCCAGCACGGGATCACGACAGTGGTAAATTATTGAATTATATTGACTTTTTCCTTGGTAAAGCCCAATATGAAGAAGTGTGCATTTAGAGGCAAACACCTTAGTGCGGGTATTACTGTCTCATGACAGCATCTAGTTTTAAGTTTATTTTTTCTGTAGTATTTTATATTTATTACCTACATTTGTACCTACGAGATGATAAGGGGATACGCAGAATGTGAAAAGTTTTGCACCCCCCCCCTTTTGTACGTTATGAGTTCACAATTTACTACAATTCCATTGACTTTTCATGTATTACATAAAACAAAGATGAAAAAAGAAGTTCATTTATTTTTTTTCTTGTAACGTAACATGTTTATGACAAGGATGGGCCCAGGAATTAAGCCTAAGGGACCAGGCAAAATTTATCACTATGATGGGACCGGTACAAACGGGCATGGGACAATGATTTTTTTCATCGACGAAAACCATGGGACAAAAACATTTTTAGCATTAAGTAACCATGGGACACAAACTACTTTTCAATGACACAGTACTTAACCCAAGACAAATATTCATTTTATTGAAAAAAAAATTCAAGAAAAAAATCATATATTTGAAACTGAAGTGAAGGATACAAGTGGCAACATAAATCTTTTAATGGGAAATATTTAAACAAACAAAAACATTTTTTCGAGACTCCTTAGTATTGTTCCAATTATCTCACTAATACCAAGATGTAACCATAGGACAATAACTTTTTTATAAGTCTCAAGGCATGGGACAGATATTTTTTTAAATACCAATGCCATGGGACACGTACTTTTTTAAAATGAGGATTTGTTTTGTACTGGTCCCATCATTGGGATAAATTTTGTCTGGTCCCTAAAGCGGGAAGGGGTGGGGGTGGCATACAAAGCATGAACAGACATGTATCATAAGAAATATTACATAGTTTACTGCTGCAAAGGAAATGGGTCAGAATATTTTTAACAAGAAAATTTTCCTAAACTCTCAAAAATGGAGGGGAAAACATTTGATGGGGGTACGCTTGTGACGGACCAAACCGACATGTAATTGTTTGTATGTATACAAATACCTCTTATGAATATTTTATTGTATTCTATATATCGGGAAAATTATTTGAGAGGGCCCGCGCCTCCCCCTCCCCGGTTGCTACGGCTATGCTTTTTCAAGGAAATTGAAACTCTTTTTTTATTGAATGGTTCTATTGCTTAATTGAATTATTTGAATTTTCCCAGAAGCATGCATGGCCAGGACCCGTAATTATAGGTGAACATTTACTCATACGTTGATGGCCTAACGGTTCACCTTTCAGAAGTGTTAAGTTAAACCCTAGGCTTAGTAGGGTAGAACCATGTAACAAATAAAGATTATTTATTTGTAGTTTTATAAACAGTACATATTTGAATAAAATACCAAACAAACGTTTATATTCAAAACAAAATATATATATACTGGTTTCAGCGTAGAACAACGAGGAAGTCAAGATGCAAGTGTATTTTGGCTAGTGTCATTGCAACTTCACAATATCTGAGCATGAAAAATATATAAAATATAGAATTCAAGTAAACTGATTTAAAGCAAGGGATAAAGATAGCGAATGCCAATCCTGAATGACTTCTTTGGTCAAATAAAGAACATTTTAGTATTTTGCCTCTACATATATTTTTGCGTGAAGTTATCGCCCTTATCATATTAAATAACATCAAATTTTTTTTTCATAAATAGTCAATTTTGATAAATGTACTTAAAATAAAAAGATCAAGAATAGACATTTTTTAAATTTCTTTTCAGATAACGATAAAAATGTTTTCTTCATTATGGAAAAAGAATTATTTCTCTTATTTTAATTGTAAATAATTCTGAAACATCGATTCATAACGTATATGAATAGTTTATTTCATAGGACAATAGTTTATTTCATAGTACCAAGAAGTACTTGCGTTAAACAAACAATAAAAAAGAAAGAGAGAGTGAGAATGTGGGGAATGTGAGAGAAAGACAGAATGGTAGGGGAGGAGGAGTGAGAGGGAGAGATAGAGTGAGGGAGATAAAGAAGGGCGAGAGTGGGGGATTACCATCTCCCGTTCTATCCAAACCCTCTATGATCTCCCTGCACTCTCTATCCTTATCACACTTAGCCTCTTACTATCTCCACCGCTGTCTTTCAAGAGAGAATATGAGAGAGCGAGTAAGAGTGGAGAGAGAGAGAGAGGTTGGAGCGAGTAAGAGTAGAAGGAGTGAGAATGGAGAGAGAGGTACTGAGTGATAGGGGGAGAGAGAGGTACTGAGTGATAGGGGGAGAAAGGGAAGAAATGAGAGTGGGGAGACAGAGTGAGAGGGAAGAAAGGTTGGGTGGGGGAGTGTGGGGAGTGAGAGTGGGGAGAGAGAGGGAGTGCGAGGGGAGAGAGAGAGAGTGGGGAGAGAGAGGGTGTGCGAGTGGGAGAGAGAGGGAGTGCGAGTGGGGAGAGAGAGGGAGTGAGAGTGGGGAGAGGGAGGGTGAGAGAGTGGGAAGAGAGAGGGTGTGAGAGAGTTGGCAGGGAGAGCGGGAGAGGGAGAGCTGAGTTAGAGCGAGGAAAAAGGGAGAAGAGTGATTGAGAGTGGAGAGAAAGGGAGGAAAGTGGGGAGAAAGGGAGGAGGAGAGAGAGAGAGGGTTGTGAGAGAGATTGAGAGGGAGGAGAAAGAAAGAGAGTGAGAGTGGAGAAAGATAGAGAGTGAGACGTGGGAGAAAGAGACAGCGAGAGTGGGGAGAGAGAGGGGGTTATAGTGGGGAGTGAGAGGTGGTAATTGAGACAGAATGGAGGGAGAGGGAGTGAAAGTAGGGAGAAAGGAAGGAGAGAGAGAGAGAGTGGGGAGAGGGAGGGAGTTATAGTGGAGAGAGAGAGAGAGATAGAGAGAGAGAAAGAGAGAGAGAGGAATTGAGACTACTAGTGGGGAGAGAGAAAGCGGGGATATTAAATTCGATATGTGTTACTTTGTCTGTCTGTCTGTTCTGTAATAATTAAATCGAAACAATGTTCAAAATAAATTGAGATCTTAACATATCTTGAAGAAATATGAGTAGTAATTTCGAAAATACTAATTTAGTACTAATTTTCACAAACTTCTCTTAAGTTATACAGACATACAGAGAGACCGACAGACAGACCGATATTGATATTCCATACTTTGAATGGAAGCAGGTGACGACAAACAAAATCAATACCGGGAGTCCAGAAAATGTTTTTCCTGTCGAAATCCTTTAATTCTGTCAATTATCTTATTAGTTACCTACCGGTGAAACTTTTGGGGACTGTAGGTTTCCTTCCAGTCTGTCTGTCCGTACGTCCGTCTGTCCCTCTGTCTATTTGTAGGTCCGGAATGTCCATATTTTTGTTGCGCTTTTTCATACACGGGGTCTAATAAAATGAACCGTAATGAGAAAAGGGGATCCCAGTAGGGGACATATATTGCTTATGCAATACTCTCAGAATGCTTGTTCATTTTATTTAGCAAATACATGTATAGCTAGTATTGGCTAATATCATTTTTATGCTTCAGAACCATAACTTCTGCAACAAAACTGTTATACGTAAGGCCAACTACTAGAGAAAAGACAATTCACTATTTCCAGTTTTTCCTTTTTTCACTGTAATTCTGTTGGACATTCGTTTTTATGCTATCAATTAAAGTTAAGATACCCTAGGATGGAGGATTCTATGATAAAAAAGATATAAAAAATTGAAAAAAAAAAATAAATAGATGAATACAAATGATAATACAATATTAAAAACAATAGAAACTTCTCTACATTGACAAATATTTCAAAGTGTACTCTTGGAATTTTAGATGACGCATAGCATGTTAAAATTATGACGTCGCGTCTGAATTTTTCGTAAAATCTCGACGTTCTGCTATGAAAGATACAGTATTTGGCGTTATTTTTTAAATGCATACATTTGAGTTATATATAAGAATTACATGCCATTTAATTTAAAAAATCCTAGCCTTTTTAAAATGTTTTGAACGGAGAAGATCTGAAACGCGGCATTTTTTTGGCCAAAACTGTACTTTTTTCTTTTAAACCTTAAAGTTTGTGAAAGAGATTGAATCATACATATGTCTTAAAAAATTTGAATTTACCGGGTGGCAGTAAATTCAAAATCAACATGACACATATTATATTGTTCCGATTGCTCCAATACCACGAATATAAGGAAAATTCTGCTCAAAGAGAAGTTTTTCGCCTTTGTTGTTGTTATTTATTATATTCATCATTAAAAATCACTGCTGCGCAAAAATGTAATTAATAAGTAAGTTGAATGTGGTCTGCTTATGAGAGTATACAGTGTTTTATGAATCAATATTCAAATGGCAATGAACGTAGAGTTCCTGAGAATACAGGTATCGTTATATAATGTCTGATGATTTTCATAAAAGTAGACTTTGTAATTAATCAAAATCATTAATTCAACCTTAGAGTTTGGTCCACTATAAAAAAATACTTTAACAATGACAATAACTTTTTAACCATTAGTACTAGGGTTTTCATATTTTACAGGTGTATTCCTTGTGACAAGACCTTTCTTTTGAAACCAAATAATTTTAAAGCAGTTTAAATAAATTATTCTGTAAATATTTCCAGGAACAAACCAGGTGTTCGAGTATGACGACACCCCTATCACGTTTTCCTTCGTAACACAGGCTAGTCGTACGTACAGCGGACGAGGGTTTACGGCAGTCGTGACGGCATTTACGGAGAAATCTGGCGCCAACTGCTCCGGGACCGACTTCCTCTGTGACAACAACAGGTACATCTTATATTAAACACGAATAATTAATTTCAGTAACACAAGCTGGCGTCAATCGCACAAGGAACACATTTTTTGTTGAAAGATTAAAAAAAAATTCTTATAAATCCATCATATATGTTCTTTTCCACCTTTTCATTTAGGAATTTCAAATAATTATTGTCCCTGAAATTCTAAAACAAGTTTTAATTGTGATCTTAATTTGTTTTAGTTATATAAAAAGTGATGTTGCTTATGAATTGTCGTGGCATATTCACTTGTTTTGATGATAAATACTAATAATGTACTCCAACAGTTTGTTGAAAGAATTTTTCTGCAAAGACTACATAAATATTGTCAATGATGGACTCAAATTTTTTTATAACAACTTCAGAGTGCATTTTTTTTGTTAATGACCAACCACCAGGTGTGGAAATAATCCATATTTGCGAGTTACATGTAGCCAGGAAGCTATGTTTTGAATGTTTGCCTGTTTCACTATAGTCTTCACATTGGAATCAAAATAGGTGTATAAGTACTTCGCTCGAGTGTGATGGAGAACAAAACTGTGTAGACAACACAGACGAAGCTTCCTGTTCAAGTACAACCGGTGCAGCAACAACAACAACTCCGTCTGCCTCGACCTCAGCTGGCGCAACGACCTCCTCTGCTGCAAACGTCACATCTTCCAACCAGTCAACAACGCAGTCACCTTTAAGCTCCTCCCCCAGTGCAACTACCCAATTATTGTTAACTACGACCACACAGACATCCGAAGAAAAGGTTATACATGTACAATTATTCATACCTTTAGTTGTTTATTTATCATGTATTCTTAGCAAAAAGACATTTAAATACAACTGATTCAAAGTTATTATGGAGATAATGAATAGTATTCAAGCTTAAAAGTAGATTCAACAATGCATGTGCAAATCAGAAGCAGTGAAAGCATACGAATACTAATTTTCTTGAATTCATTTAACGTCACTGTTTTTATTTTACAGTCCACCTTTCCTGGTCTCGGAGAGAAGGCTGTCCTCGTGATCATCATTCTGTCGTCTGCTGTGATCGTTACCATTATTATAACTGCAATTGTCTATAAGGTTTGGTGCACGCAGAACGTAGTTCATCCTGTGCTTGAGATAGAAGAGGCTCCAACAACATCTTTTCAACCAGCTGCTAAACCAGGTCCCAAACCGCCTCCAAGTCGGCCCCTAAACCAGCCCCTGAACCTGCTCCTAAAACAGCCCCCGAACCGGGTCCTAAATCAGTACCAC